TGCTCCTATATCACATGCTTGGTTGTAGCTTTGGAAGTCTTTGGAAGTAGTTATGAGTAAAATGAAGTAGTTTAGTGATACTGGGAACAAAGGGTAATGAAGCGATGAGAGATCAGCCTCCCCACTCTTGCAGACAATTATGCATATGCTTAATTTTACTGACAGGTGTGTTGTTGCAGTAAAATAAGGAAGTTCATAGGAAGAAAGTGAAGAGCAGTCATAAATGTTTACAAGATTACTACCTTAGAGGGCAGATCATGAAACAAGGAAAACAACAGAGATTAACAGACTTCTCATGTGAGAAAAGCTAAATCTGTGTTAAAACATTCTCACACAATAAATTATTGCGTCTATATAAATTAGGCATATGGGCATTTTATGGTTTTACTGAAACATATCTGTTGGCATTGCCTCTTTGACGTTGCTCATGAACTAATAATAAAGGTCAAAGTTATGCTGTTAGACCTTTACTGATTAGAATCCTTTAAAAAATAGCTTGTCTGATAAAAGATAACACCGACAAAAATCCCTGCCTGATAAAGGTTTTACATAAATGAATATCCCATCTAAACAGAATTTTTGAAACCCAGTAAGTCGAAAAACAACATTCCAAGTTTTCAATTGAGTGAGTATAGTGCCAGACTTTTAACTCTGGGGCCAGGAATAGACATTCAAAAAGCCTGAGCCTGAATTGATTCAATCTTTCCAGGTTAGTCTAACTTGCCTAGATTGAATCAGTTTGCAACTGTACAGACATTCCCTCTGGACTGAAGAAATGCAGGCACATGCCTGCAGTAGCTCAAGCTAGAAGCTGGGTGGTGCTAAAGCAGCCCTTCCTTCCCTTGCACAATGCTGAGCTGAGGTGGGTCATGGCCAGGTCCCAGCAGGACGCTCTGATTAGGGACGGGTGTAAATCCCCACCCTGCCTTTACATTCCCAGGCTTTCCCCTGCTTGCTGCTCAAGGGGTGGGAGTGTTGCCAGCCCCCAGCCCCAAACTAGAACTCTGAGGCAAAGGGAGGTATGCAGTGCATGCATCTGTTGATGATACTGAGCTTTCTTATTTCTCTCTTCCTGCTTCTTCATACTGTCTGCAAACCTGACAGGCAAGGGAGCCAGCAGGCAGCTGATAACACAACGTTAATCAGCCCATCAGCAAAACAAAAGCCTCTCTCATTAGTTCAAGCCCTTCTTAAACAGCTTTTCCCAAAGGAAGAACAGACGGACATTACCAGATGACCTGTTGAGTAGCTCCAAAAAGCCCTAAGTGTGCACTGTTCTGTCTGCCTGTCCCAGTGAAACTGGAGACACATACACACACAGATACTTCTCAGCATTAGCTAGTATACCAGATGCATAGGGTCTGTGTGGTTGGGTCTATGCAGTGGGAGATGGGAGGGAGGGGGGAATCCCCACCTGAGCAGTGAGGGTGGGGTGGGGCAGGGGGAAGCCAGGCAGATGCTGCTTTGCCTGCAGTCTCCCCCAGAACTCCGGCTAGGGAGCCAAGGGGTGGGGCCAGCCCTGTTGTCTGGAGCAGACAGCACAGCCCAGGGCTGCAAAGCATCTGGGATGCTGTGGGACTCTGGTTTAACTTAAAGCAGGAAGGGGTCTGGGGATACATTGCATAAACAGGTTTGACCCAAAGCAGTTCAGTTTAATACTACATTCAATCAGGTTTATCTTAAACCAGTTTCAGCCATTTTGAAATTGGTTTATGTGCACTGAACTTCTGTTCTGTTACAGGTTTAAGTCAGTTTACGTGTAATGTCTGTCCCTACCCTGGAGGCTGACGTTCATTAGCTACAGAGTAAATATAGGCGCTGTTCACTTCATCATGCTAATTTACTGAGCCAGATCTAGCAAATGAGGGGAGAATTTACACTCTATTCATCCAGTGTAACCTCTCTGGTGGGCCTGCTAGTGGTTCATAGATCATGGGTGGTCTGCAGACTATGTCTAAGGAAACCATGAAAGATGACTATG